TCAATATACTTGAAATAAGACAAAACTAGGTTTTCAATTACTTTTCAGCAAGATATAAGAGCTTGCTTCTTGTCAGTAATTCCTTAATATTGATGGAAAAAGTCCTAGTTCCACTGGCAGATTATTTCACTTATAATTTGGGAAAAATGTCTTGTAAGTGAAATTATCTGCCAGTGGAAACTAATGCTTTTTCATCAATATTATTCAATTCAAGTTGATGTAATCAAGGACAGCCCCTTGAACAATGCTACATGTTGTTTTGTGTGAAGGCTTTCCAGCCACAGGCTAATTTGCAGACCCAGTCCTTGGTTGAACCTTTAGTAAAATGAATAATTAAGGAATTATTGACTTAAATCAAGCTCCCATATCTTGAACAGTTGCTTATAAGTTAGTTTTATCTTATTTCAAGTGTTCTAAGATATTTGCACTAGAAAGTAGACCACAGTTACTTGGTAAGAATTTATGTTTTTTGCAGCGTATCCAATGGATCCATGAGATCACTGGTGTGATCATGACAGTTAAAGGGTTAACCATCTTGTGATGGAGAAAATAATGGCATAACTGGCAAACCCAGCAGAGAGTTTTTGTATTATCTGTGAGTGTTAATATTTTTTTAATAAAACTAGCCTACATGAGATATTGTGCTTAGGTCTTCAACAACTACTGTTTGCTCTTTGGAGAGGCATGCTAGTCATTAGCCTCCCCTTCTAGCTAGTTAGAGCTAGCTAGAAGGAGAGGCTAGCTCTTTCTAGGTGGTGCTAGTCTCCTTCTCATTTGCCAGCTCCACTTGTAAGGTAAGGAAAGGTAATTTTATTTATATAGCACATTTTCAGGAACAAGGCAATTCAAAGTGCTTAGTTCAGGTAGTGTGCCAGCCTATCATTAATCAGCCTTCATAATGGATATTATGAAGGCTCCTCCTGTGAGGAGGATGTAGCCACACTAGTTATGCAAAACTTTTAATTTTAGCCCTGAAACCACGCCATAGCTCTTATTCCCATTGCTGGGGATAAGACCTTTTCCTTCCACCCAATTTCCCATGAATGCGGAGTTAGCCGTTTAGTGTCTGGTTTCATCTGGTGGATTACCCTCCTTGTGGAAGAAATCAAATACAGTCTGCTGCAGACTTGAGTTTTCCTGAACCATAACATCCACAGGTGTGGCACAGTGGCTGTGACGGCTACAGGGTCACTCCTGGATCTGATGGACACAACATCTCTGTCAGCATCACCACTTCAAAGAAGAGCTCCAGTGGTTTGTGGCTTTATTTGTCTTTTTTTTTCCTTCTTTGTCAACCTCCCAGATGAGCATATGGCAACACAACACAAAGCATTAACCCAACCTCCTGTCAATACCGAGAGTGCACCACTCCCACTGTGAAAGGTGAACAGCAGGACACTCGTGCACGCCTGTGTCAGCACACACACTAGTGAGCTCACGGATATTGCTGTGGAACCCCCCACCCCCAAAATGCTTTGGCTTTCAGATGAAGTCCTTTCACCCCCAGCAGGCAGCAGCTGCAGGGCTGTTTCTCAGAGGGAGGCAGGACGACAGCCGGAGCGGTCTTTCAGAAACGCACAGCTGATTACCCTTTATTCACGGAGGCACGAGAACACTTGCGGCAAAACATTTATTATGTCATCATGCTAAGCCGGTGTGCTTTTTGGGCCGTCTTCCATGTAAAACAAGAGAATTCCATGGAAAAAACCCCCAGAACCAGTCAGAACAGAGGAGCTATCTCCTTGTGACAACATGTTGCTGTGCTTCATGATTTTGTTGGACTGGGCATACAGAATCCTACCAGGCCTTGTTGCTAGCTATAGAAAGAATGAGGTTTTGTTGCAATTGCTGAGGGATATTTTCCCAAACTTTTGCGCCCAATTCATGTTTTTTTTTTAATTCACTCAAATTTTTTTTGATGCATCATCCTTCCACCTTGAAAAAGGAAGTGTCTTGGTGTATGTTTTGACCAGCAGTGTATTGTTGCTAGCAGTTCAAGCTTATATCAATCTATCTTCCTTCAGTTTACATCATCAAGCACTAAACTCTTCTCTCTTAGCAGCAGGGCATGGTCGTTTGTAGTGCACACAATTTCTGGTTAGCTTCTTAGCGTTGAACTGCCACATTACGTTAAGGCCAAATGTTAGCGACTGCTGGGTACCAATCAACCAGGCCACGCAAAAACTTAATTTCATCAGATGCCGACGTTACAATTGACTGTAATAAACTGGAAGGGGGAAGTAACATTGAGAAAATTGAGAAAAATGGAGAGTTTTGTTCTGTGACGTTAACTAGTGTTGGCAATGTTTTCACACATCGTGGAACTGTCTGGAAAGATGTGAACAGAGGAAAAGGCCGATCAGCCACATGAGATAAAAATTAGCCACATCGGAACTTATTCTGTAAATTTGTCTCCTTCTCCCCTTTAGTGTGTTAACTCTTATTTTTTGGAAAAGCCGAGAACCGCCTCCAGGAAGAGTAGAATCCTTTTTGCAAAATAAAGGAATTATTTAGAATTTTGCAGATTCCATCAGCCAGTTGTAATGCAACACTAATAAAAACAGAGTACAACCACTCTGTCTGCCTTCTTGTGTAATTAAATCTGAGCTCTCAGGTGACCAGTGACAGTTTTTACTCAGGATGATTTAAGTGCATCTCTACAAAAAATATCTATGTCTTTCAGAAACGCAAGATTTGTGGCCTTTTAGCAGAGCTGACTCAAAAAGCACACTTAGCTTATCAAAGGCAGAAAAAAAAATCTAACGAAAACTCAGGTGAGTCACTAGTTTGCTCTGCTGTTAGCATTCAGAATCAAGACAAAGACAAAACACAGGCTGTAGTCTTTCACTGTGAGCTCATGTGACTTCAGGTGACTCGCCTGTACAGCAGCAGCAACTGAAATATGTCCCAGTCGACTTAGATTACTTCAACTCTTAACAGGGAAGGACAATGCAGTAGATCTCACCATCATTTGTATGTACATTTACTGATGTACTATTTTTAATCAGACATTGTCCTTTCACTTTCATTTTATTTTTCAAAATGTATGCACAAAGACAACCTGGATAAAAATATACAAAATGCTGTTTTCAAACAGTTTTTAAATGGAAATGTCCTCTAAACCAAAGTGGCCCAATGTGAAGAAGTAATCATCGATCTCTTTAACAATATTTCCTGGAAAGCTGAGTTCAATTTCTCCAGCCACAGGTCAGCCAGGCCTGCTGACTGGCTGACCAGTAGAATTTGGAAATCACTTAAACAGAACCTACCAGACAACATGAAGTAGGTTAAATGGGCTGAAAAAAGCAACACGTTATGCCACGATCCAAGAGAAATCAGTGACAGGAATAAAACATCTAACATATGTCAGTCTGGAAGAGGTTACAAAATTATTTCTGAGCCTTTGGGACTTTATCCAACAGAAGCAGAAACCTGGAACTGTTGTGAACCTTTCCAGGAGTGACCAGCCTCCCAAATTATAATAATTTAAAAAAATAAAAAACTCAAAGAATTCCTCAAAGACTCATTCAGGAGGTTCCAAAAGAAGAACAAGATCTAAATCATCTCGTTTCAAGCCTGCCATGTTCTACACAGGTTCTGGAATCCAAATATAATATCAACTTCCCAATACAATATGTAGTTCTTTGATGACTAACCAGAAACACTAAGAGAGAGAAAAGCCCTTAAATGAACTGTAGTGATACTGGAAATTAGAGGTGGGGAATATGGACTTAAAGTTTTATTACTGTATTTTGTGGTACTATTGTGATAACGATAAAAGTGATGATGAGACTTCTATTGTATTTTTAGGTAACTGTATGACTCTGTGGCAATTACAGACCCACAGGCTCAGTTGATGCTCCTGAGAAACGTCACCTTTTGTCTGTAACGTGCTAAAAGTCCTGTCAACCAACTGTAACTGTCAAAGGGGCCCGGGGTCAAAGTTCAGGTATTATTGGAGCTTTTGGAAGGCAGAAAAGAAGGGAAGAGAAAAAAATCCTTCCAGCTGCTCAGCATAAACCAGAGAGAACAATCATCCAGTCATGCAACAAACCAGAGGCCTGCTGAGTGGTGCAGCTCTGGAACATGACATAACTTACACCTTAGTCATGGTTAGTCATGCTAAACATGACTAAATCCTGTCAGGAGAAACTCCGGCTGATGTGACAACACTTGACACAGACAATACAGTCTGATTTGGATTCTATCAAATCCAAAAAAGAAAAAAAATATATTCAAAAACCTGTGAAGAAATAATTTAGGGCGTGTCAGTCCTCAGTGTGGCCATCACACGTTCAAGTCCTTCGCTGCATGTCTTCTCCTCTGACCTTCTGATCTCTCCACTGACTGACAAACAAAAACCACGGGAATAAAAAAATTTCCTGAAATTAAAAGAAAAAAATTAAAGGTAAGGTCATAAAAACGAAAGATGCAACTGATGTAATATCAGACCGTTTTTATGCAAGATGAACATGATGTCATGTAAAGATCATGGGCATCTTTATGAAAACATAGGATTTTTATTTTCATTTTTATTTTCAACCCCCACTGAAAATAAACATCATATAACTTTATAGATTTGACTCCCCTGACATGGACCTTATACATTTTCATTCATTCATTCAAACAGTGAGTTGTTGTAATGCAATGCTTTATTGATTTTAATGTCTGTCGCTGGTTTTCAAAGTCGTTGTAGAAATGTGATGATTTTGTGTTTTTGTGATGTACAGCACTTTGAACTGCCTTGTTGCTGAAATCCATCCATTTTCTTCCACCCTAACTCCCCTGGGGTCAGGACGGGTGCTGGTGTCTGCCTCCAGCTGTCAAAGGATGAGAGGTGGGTCACCCTGGACAGGTCGCCAGTCTGTCATAGGGCCTTGTTGCTGAAATGTGCCATACAAATAAACTTGATTAAGAAGAAAGAAAGAAAGAAAGAAAGAAAGAAAGAAAGAAAGAAAGAAAGAAAGAAAGAAAGAAAGAAAGAAAGAAAGAAAGAAACGGACCCTGTCAGCCCAGCATGCAGGATGTGAGTCAGAAAGGTGCAAAGCCTCGGCTGACAGTTGGATCCAGACAGGTGCCACCAAATGCCTTCAACCTCTACAGATCTTACTGTAAGAATCCATCACCATGGAAACCTGAGGATTGACTCACTGCTCTATTGAGTCTATTGTCTTGTTCTCCCTCAGGACTTTTAGATGTTTTTTTTTTCTCTCGCTCTGCATCAGATGATATTCGACCCGCTTTGGTAACAGGGATCAAACAAGCAGCTCTGAACGCTTTATTGGTCCTGCGGTTGGAGTGTGCACACAAAGGGTGGAGTCGGAGCTGCTATTTTTTTTTTCCACCCACAGGGATCAAATCTGAACTTGAAGAGCCGCAGGAGGAAATCGAAGTTGAGCTGAGGCCCCCGGAAACATTTGAGATGCGTTTGAGAGCCCCGGTCTGCGGGGCTGCCGGGCCAAATCACTTTTAAGATTGACCCGTGCGGTGAGTGAGTGCAGCCATGCGGCGCACCGCGTTGGCGCTTCCACGCGTCCAGCCCTCTCCGCGGGCGGCGCGTAAAAGCGAGTGGCTCCGCAGCGCCCTGGCCCATCACCACTGCCCCGATCCGGCAGCAGAGAACGAAATCGTCGTTCTCGCCACCGGAATCGATCAGTACCTGCAGGAGGTCTTCCACCACCTGGCCCTTCCCAGCTTGGACGACACGGTGTCCGGGCAGGACTTCGCCGCTCTCTGCGCCGTGCTGGGACTTCCCGGAGCTCAAAGGACGCCGGAAGCGGAGGATGGAAGCGGCGATGGCGGAACGGAGCAGCAGCACCAGCAGCAGCAGCAGCAGCAGTGTGAGGAGTTCGCGGAGGTTTGTTCAGGTTTACCCGAGCGGCTTTCGTTTAGAGACTTTCACTCGCGGCTCTGCGGGTGTTTCCGAGTGCGCAGTGCGCCCGGAGTCGGCGGGGGTCGCGCCTGGCGTCTGCCGGTTTCCGAGGACACGGAGCTGGTGGAGAGGCAGATCCGGCTCCGGTGGCCCCGGATCCGGCGGAGGAAGTGTGTCAGTTTTGACCTGGGTCGAGATCAGACCGGAACCAGGAGCAGATCCGTGAAAAGCGGAGCCCAGGAGGAACTCCGTGAGCAAGGTATGCTCCCTACAGGAGACCTGTTGCTTTTTTAAACGGATAAATAAATTAAATACATAAACTACAAAAGAAAATCAAAACAGAATCTGTTGTACAATACGAAGATTTCAAGAAAGAATCTGGAACTAAAGTATTGATCCGATACTGATACTGACTTGGTCTCAATATTATTGATATTTTTGATTAGTTTTCTTCTAAAGTAACTGGTTGCAGTGTATTTTTTATTTAGGGGTAACAGAGTACAGTGTTTCTGTCACTTTGAAATTTATTAGCAAAAATAAATAAATGAATATGTTATGCATGACTTTGTGGTGAGTCACATAAAATCCCACCTGAACACAAAGTGACGTTTGAGGTTGGAACCTGATGAAATCTGAGGTTTTGGGAGGGACGGAACATTTAGTGACTGTTGCACCTCACAACCCACAGGAAATTCTAGATTTAACTTCTAATTCCCTATAATTTCATTGCATCAGCAGCATTCCACAGACAGACCTGTGAAAGCTGTGGGCTAATAGAAGGAGACAAAGAATTTATGAGCACCTATTCATTCAGCCTGTTTCCTCTCTTGTTCCTTTCTCTCATTTCATTTCTGGATCCTTCACTTGTTTCTTTTTTTTAATCACGTAAGGATCATTTAGGAGCAGAAACTTCAAGTCTGACAGTGTGATCCGGTAAACATACCGAAGCCTCACAGGCATCAAAAGGAGTCAGACCAGTCCGCTAAGCACGAGGTGTCATTTGTGAAGTTACTCAGTTAAAAATGAACAGCAATAATTTGGGTTATTTAGCTTGTTACAAGAAAAAAAACTACTTCCCTTCATTTCTCAAAGTCATATTTTCATCATTTATAAATATCACAGTTTAAAACTGAATAATTATTTAGCAAGCTAAATATATAGCCTCAAACTAAATATTTCATTTGGAAGCTAAATGTTTAGCTAATATGCAAATTAATTTAATTTACTTTGTAAGCAAGTTAAATATTTAGCAAAGTGTCATTACCAAACATTTCTAAATTAAAAAGCCTTTTCATAGGCAATTTGTGATTTCCAAATTTCCTGAAAAACTGTAGAACATGCTTTTAGGTACAGGCTGTCCCTAACTATAACTAACTCTAACTATAAAGTCTCAAAAAACGCAAACATTTTAAAAAGATTTAAATAAATAAGCACAAGTAAAACCTGGTGGCCTGCCAGGCTTATAATACACTGGGGGGAAACATGGTGTCATATATTCTCATTTATGTACCTTCTTTTATTCTCGCAAGACTTCTCTGTCAAGCAGAAGTTTGATTTGCATGCAGACATTGTCATTATGTTCGGTCTCAAGGTGGTTTATGTTACTAGCTGCTAATGTACCTTTGCTTGCTACATAGTTATTTTATTTTTTTGCATCTATCATGGATAAATGCAAATTCATAGGCAGTTGCTTTTGCTACTGCCTCACTTTTGTTGAATCCATCTCACAAGGTTAGGTGGATTCTGTGCAAAAAAAAAAAAAAAAAAAACTTTTAGGCTCGACACTGTGGGGTGAGATGTAAACAAACCTTCAAAAATGTCACTTTTTGCTATGATTGATTGTAACACAGCAGGATCCCCCAACAAACCATTGTATTTGGAGTTTTCTCTGTCTTAAATTTCATGTTAAGTTTCATTTAAGTGCTGACTTTAGCTCTGTGGGTAGAGTAGTCATCTTGTGATTGGAAGGTTGTAGGTTCAATTTCAGCTTTCTCTGGTCACATCCTGACATCCCCTGAGCAAGGCACTAAATCCCAAGGTGCAAAAGAGTGAATGTGATATATAAGTTCAGTCTGTTCACCGTTTAGAAGTTTGACTTGCTGAAACCTGCAGAATTGAAGGTATCTTTTTATGTGTAATGAAACTTTAATTGAGTTTTTTAAAATTGAGTTGCTGAATAATTCAACTTCCCAGTGATGTTACAGTTTAGTCTTATACCAGTTGCAGTTATTTAGTAAATAATTTGAAAAAAGTACCAGGTGAGTACTTCAGTCAGTAATGAAGTGTTCAGTTTTCTTTCAATTTTAAAATGTATGAATTGCTTTTATTGGACAGTCATGGTGGTATCTCCATTTTTTTTTTAAGTGAAATTTCTTTACGCTGACTTATGGTGACCTTGAACTCTTAACCTGGCATCTTGTCCAGATGAGGTTGGCGCTCTCAGGGAGCTGGTTGAGGACCTGCGCTCTGCTCTGCAGGGGAGCGACGCTCGCTGTCTGGCCCTGGAGGTGGCCCTCAGACGGGAGAGGAGCCGGACCCCTGCCGGCCCTTGCAGCCACAGTGCCACTCTTTCCATTCCCACACCCTGCGGCGCGCTCACGCAGGGGAAACAGGGACAAACCGACAGACCTAAAAGCCAGCCTGATGGGACGAGGAAGGGACCGATGAGGTGGGACATCAGAGACCCCCTTCTGAGGGAGCTGAAACTGATTCGGTCATCACGTGATGGGCAGTTAGAGGAGGCCATCAAATTCAATGAGTGTTTGGAGGAAGAGCTGCAGTGGGCGTACCAGGAAGTTCGCAAGCTGCAGGGGTTGGAGTCGTCCCTGAGGAGGGAGAACAACCAGATCAGGTGCTGTAAATATTCAGAAATGTAAAACAAAAAATAAAAATCAGTTTTTTTTTGTGTGGATTTATTGGAAATTTGTGACGATCTGTGATGCTGACAGGAAGCGGGCGGAGGAAGCTAGAGAGGCTCTCAATGTGGGGCTGCAGAGGGTTCGGCTGATCCAGGAACAGGCCCAGTTGGTGCCGCAGCTCCAGTCCAAGATCACCCAGCTGGAGACGGCACTGCTGCGGTACAGGTACAGCACCGGGTTCGGTTGGGTGAGCAGGAGAGTTCTCTGTCTGGGCGTGTTTCAGGATCCAGTTACACTTCATTTGCCTTTCTGACTTCTACAAGTCCTCACTCCTTGAAACCAACATAAAAACACGGTGCACACCGCCTCGCACCCAGTTCAATGATTCAACTATAACCTAGCTAAATCTGTCTTTATTGTCACTGCTACTGCTGCTAAACCGCCCCCCCCCAAACAAAATAAACAAAATAAATATGATTCTTAGCCTGGTGTGGATGGAGGTGATTGGGGAGAAAGCCTGGTGGGCTGCCAGACAGAAACCCTGCTAGACTTGTTTGTTGTCCGTCATTTTTGCTGAATCAATTCATAATGCTTTTTTTGCCTGTCATTTTTCAAAATGATAATGATGGTACACAGTACATTCAATTTTATTTTATATTCATTCCGCTCAACAAGCTGAACAGAGAATCCACGCTACACATCAAGCAGATGAATGAAAGTCACTTTTTCTCCTCAGTAACACTGATTGTGTTTTTATGAATGATTCGTCTGCTGTGGCCCGACAGTCTCACAACGTCCTCCTGATCCTTATGAACTTGATTTTGCACACCAGCTTGTGTGTAATCAAATATCTCAGGGTTTTTGTTGTTAATCTGGAAGACAAAATCTCTCTGGTTCTGCTGCTACACTGGAGACTTCAGCTAAAAGTTTTGAAATCAGGGAACATTTCTTCAACTGAAGGGATCAGAAATCGGCAAGACTCTGAAAGATCCATGCGTTATGTCAAAAATTGTTTTGCCCTTCCCCACTAAATGGTCGTTGTCGTTGTTTCTGTCTCCGGCAGAATCGGCTGCACCTGCCTCTCTGAGAGCCAGTCAAGTCAACCTGAGGACCCGAGTGGTGAGACAGCTGGAGCACCGCGGACAGCTACAGAGACGGCACGCCTGAAGGTTTAACTCCAGCTCATTCTTCCCCAGATGCAGAGGGTCTGCAGCGGGCGGTGGAAGGGAGAGCTGCCTCTGATGAAGAGGAAGATGATGGGAGTCTGAAGGAGACAGGAAACTGTTGCTCCTCACAGGAGAAGAGCGTCGTCTCACGCGGTCCTGGCTGTGGCGAAGGGTCTGTCACCATCCTGCTCTGTTGTTCATCACCAAATGTTTGTGTAGAGAGGGATCCAACGCCACCTGTGATCTTCCAGATGTCAGAACAACACGGCCCATCATCTTGTCTCCCTGAGTCGCTTGGAGCTCCGAAAGCGCCCCGGCTCTACTGCAGACGGCACAGACTGCTGCAGCGAGACGGGGCCAAAGCAAGGGGAGAAAAACAGATGTGGACACTTTGGAAAGGTAAAGGTGAGTGGTTATTACCTAAAATCAGCTAAAAACCAGACCTAGGCAAAAGTATTGATTACAATAAACCTAAGTATGGTTGGCTGTCCTTTTTTCTTCTTCATTACAGCACTCTTTGTTAGCTGTAGCATTTAACCAGTAAAATATCCAAACATAATTGTGTCTATTAAGGGCCGTCACAATTTGTCCAGTATGCCAGATCTATTACTGGTATTCTGCATTTGCATGCATAACCTTCAGAGTACGATATTACCATCACAACCTGATTCCAATTAGCATTATTAGAGCTATTTATGCTAAATAACTCTGCTAACGATGTAATTAAGCATAACAATGACTATAAAACAGGATATTATTAGGGATGGAGAAATTAGGTATTTGAAGTTCAAGATAATTTACAACTTTAACTGTAACCAACAATGAGTAGGACACAGAGCGGTGTGTGTGTGTGTGTGTGTGTGTGTGTGTGTGTGTGTGTCTGTCTTCACAGAGGCCTGAGGACGAGGCGGAGAAGACGCGTCTGTCTCTGCTGGAGGACAAACTCACAGATTCACTCACTCTGCTGCTACAGCTGCGCAACACGGTGCTCACACACGCACACACACAAACTCACTATCCCACAGGGAGGGAAGGAGATGCTCTTCACACAGGTTCACAGCGCCATCTAGTGTTTGACCTGCCAGTTCACTTCCTGTTGCTTTCCATTTGGGTCGTTTCAGTTCTTCCAGATATACAGCAGTGGCTCTTTTAAATGAGGTCAACTGGTTGTTTTGTGCATTTGTACATAAGGAATAGCATATAGAGGTGAGAGAATGCCTAATGTTGAAACTTTGTGCATGAGGTGCAAGACGTTAGGGTTAAGGGTGACCTGAACATCATTGGTCGGTGAATTCACAGACCAACATTCAGTCTCATAAAACCTCTCAAGACCAAACGTGAATAAAACAACACAACGATGTCTCTGATGTTTGGTTTGTCTCTGTGTTTCCATCAACTCACTTTCTGATTGGCTACTCAGCACATGTAACAGGCAGCATTGTCATTTGTCCTCGGGGAACAAGACACAGTTAAAATATCAGGCCAAGACAATCCGACATGACGAACGCCCCAGATTTGAGATTGGAGAGGTTCCGATATCCTTCCCAGTGGACCGGATCACTCTCAACACACCACACACACACATACAGGAGGATAATAAGATTAAGAGCAATCTCGATAAATGGAAGGGGAAACCGGGAGCTCAGTGCATCACTCTTATCAGTCCATTCAGATAACTGATTAAAATTTGTCAGCCTCTTCCGTCTGTTCTTTGATCCGCATCATTCAGTTAGACTCTTTGGATTTTCCTTTAGAATGTGTCACGCAAAGTCCTGGAGAAAATGGTGGTGGGCAGTCTTGGTGTCCGCAGCAAAGCTGAAGCTGGTATGTCTGCTCTGCACTCAGTTTTTTTCCTGTTCTAGTGTTGCTCATTTACTAAACCTTTTTGCTGGCCTGTGAAGGTCAACCACAGGCCCTACAGGCCACTGGTGCTGACGGCCTCAGCATCCACTTGACCCCCAGCGACCTTCCCAAAGGAAAAGGGGAGGATGAGAGAGGAGGGCAGAATGGAGAGAAACATCTGCATCCACCTTCAGGATGTCAAACAAACAATATGAACTCTCTGCTTATCTCTGGTTAACAAGCTAACCTCTGTCATTCATGTTTTATACTGTTTACTAAATACGCCTACCTAATCCAAACTGCTATTTTACATGTATTTAATTTAAATAATATTTACATTGAGCACTTGTGTAGAAATAAAGAGTTCTAATGATGTACATGTATGCATTTTGGGTTTCTGAACTTCATTGTAACCTACCTCAGTCACTGGCTGCTCAGTCAATAAAGCAGATCTACTTATATAATTGTGTCGATGTGCTTCTTGTGGAAACCAAGTGTAGGTCAATATATCAACTAGCTAATAAATATTTTACGTTTTCAAAACATTAGCTCAAAGTAGAAAAGTAAAATAAGCTGATGACATGGTGGCCTCCAACAGACAGTCAGCAGGGCTGTAGGATGAGAGCGGGTCTTTAACCACATGTTGCTCAGTTATGGGAACCGAGTCTCCAACCAACCAGCAGATGGACTCAGAGTGACTAGTTCTGTTGTTATGATCAGATCTGTTACCAGGATGAACGGATCTCCTGAATGTCTCCAGCAACAGATTTCTTGAGGTACAATAAATGTTACCAAAGACCATTTACGTAGATACAGATCATTACAGCTAAAACAAATCTAAGGTCAGTCAAAAGAATAACTCAAACTTAGCATACCTCTCCAAAGCGGTATGCTCTAACAGCTTTTAAGCAGCACAGGTGTATCCCTCTTCTGCTGCTCTGCTCTGCTGAGGAAACAAACCAGGAAGACGTGAGAACTTGTTCCAATTAACAGTTGAATTGTTATAAGTTAACCCAACAAAAATGTAAGGGGGCTTTATTATTTTTGATAAGAAACTGCATTTCAAGAATGTTTTTCCAAATGTCTAAACACAACTAGAATATAGAACTGAAACAACAAAACACGTGGTCTGTATATCAAATACTACATAAAACGACATCGATAATCCCATCTCGTGATGATGGCTTTCATCACAAAGTACAATAGAGCAAATACAGAGCGTGCCATCTGCTCCAAGGAGAATAACTATAATGCCAACACAGTGATCCTGATCCGGATAACAGATCTGACAAAAGAAGAACCCAAACACAGCAACTGTATGAAATAATATAGTCATTTATTTATTTCCAGCAAATTACAATGTCCTGCAGAGAGAAAGCCTTCCTCCTGCCTCACAGAAGGGGGGCTTTTTAGAAGACAAACATGTAAAAGACGTCAGACATTACAAGACTGCATTTGTCTACATCAGTATTCCCTAAAGGCAGCGCAGTGGACGGGTGGACATTACGGTTCTACAGCTCAGTATGGCTGCGGATGCCTTCGGCCTGTCAGTGGGATTCCCCATCAGGGCTCAATAGTTTAAAGCACTTGGTTATACAAAGAAGAAGCTGGGTGGTGAGTGTTATTAGATTGCTTTTGGAACAATGTCTACTTTCTGCCTTGGAAGCTCACTTCTAGTGTTTCCCAGATGTCTGCTGTGCCACATGAACAAAAATCGACGGTCACAGCTCTGCCATCCATTGCCGCAGTCATTTTCACATTCACACATTGCAATAATCACACTGTACATCATTTATTTATCCAAGCTAATTAAACAAACGCTACACTGTGGCTTACGCAACTCTTGATTGGTTGCTCTAAGAGTTGAGCTTGGCTCTGACAGATTAAGACCGTCTCATTTCATCGATGGATGCGTTCCTCATTTCAGGAGGGGCATTTCTGTATATAATCTGTTCATGTAAAGTCTCCTATTAGTACCAAAATGTTGGCCAATGGCCATTTGAAGATAGGAAATCTGACAACACCGATGACAAACGGACTCAGCCAAAAGAAAATGACAAAATAAACAACCTTACATACAGAATAAATATAGTATGTACAATTTGCTTTGTGTGCTTCTAAAAAATAAATAGATGTAGCATTTCTTGCCTTTTTATAGAAGTATACACAACTTTTCGTTGAAGTAGAGAAAGAATGCTGGCACCGGTTTGATAAAGAGTGTCAAGGATACAAACTGATAGAGATAGATGGAAGGATGAAAAGCCAAAGGCAAAGTGGCAGCTATCTCTCTGGGTGGGCAATTTGAATCCGGAGAACAAGTTCTTTATGTAAGCTAAGCCTTGCGGTGCCATCTGGTGGTGGATTTGCTAACTACAGTACGTCAATGCATTTGAATGGCACAGAAAAAGGTTGCTCTTTGCTCAAAGTGGTTGTATGCACGATTTCATTTGAGAACACAAACCAATAATTTCTGAGAGATAAAAAGATTAGGACAAAGAAATGGAATACAATAAAAAATAAAATAAAATAACCAAGCTCAAAACACCTGGTATTAAAAACAAAAAAATCTTTAAGACCACAAAGCAAAGGATTTTTAACAATTAAAATACATTTTTGCACATCCACACTATGTACTTTGCTTGTGCTTTTTGCTGGCCCCGTAAAAAAAAACAATTAAAAGTAAAACATCACATGACGGTTTCTCCTCTGCCATAATTTCTACTTGGAAGCCTGTCCAAATAGATAACAACCATAAGCCATTAAAGACAGGAAGAGCTGATCTGATGACAGGCCGTTTGTGTAGGGTGGTGGGAAGAAGAATACATATGCTAACGTGAAACAGTAAAACACTGGTGAAGATTCTTGTCCTTAAATAAACTTCATCCATTAGTTCAGATTCATCCCATACTAATCAGATGAATGTTAACAGATCCTATTTATGTTTTAGATGAGGAAAAAAAAACACACAAAAAAATGGCACTGTTCTTAGAATTGGACAACAAAAATATCAGCTTTTATTTACTTAACTGTGCATTACTGAGTTAAATAAATAAAATGTTACTTCACTATCACTGGTTTCTTGTAAGTTCTTTGTATACATAATCAGTATCTTTTATGTGTCAAAATGTATTATATTCTATCAAAACCGGTTTATTTTTGACAACATGAGTTGCTAACGACTTAGCATTGTTGAAAAAAGTCCCCCAGTTTGGGGTTTTGAGTTGTTAATTTTTTTTAATGTACCCTCATGTTAGCATGTTGTGTAGTGTGACATCACCTTAGCAGAAACAATGTTGAAAGAGGTAAAAGTTTTCTAAAAAAATACCCAGCTGCCATCTCATTTACTTCTAGCTAGCAAGAATATAATGAGCCCCATGAGTTACTTTAAAGATGTCTTGCAGTCTTTTAACGGTCTAAAACCCATCTTTTATATTGCTAAGAGCTTTATAGCAGCAGAAGGAATTATCATAGTCTATGTAGAGTAACATGAGCTATGTTAGCTAGCTCGTTGCTGGACTCTTCCTCTTTGTTCCCATAGCACAGTAAAGCTATTTCAGGCAATTCAATTGAAGCGAATGGATTTAGCTAAGAGTAGCCATTTTATCAGCTGGTGTTTCAAACAAAAGCTACTAAAAAAAAATTAAATGTTGCTCATTTTGAGAATTCAAAAACACAGGGCAAAACCAACATTTAAACTAGCCAAAAGCTGATACAAGATTCTCACGGTACGATAATCTTAAATAAAAATGCATTCAGTTTCACTGGAATTAGATCATTTTAAAGTGAAATTATCTATTTGCTTTTGTTTAAACATTTTAGCTAAAATTTACTTTGACAGCTGCAGTTTGAAAACAGTGTTGCTTTAAAAAAAGTTATATGTCAGGCTTATTTAGTGCAGATCTTCACTGCCTGTTACTTACGTGAATGTAAATTTCCAGCTCTGCATTTCTCCTTGCTCTATACTGCAGAAGAACTTTAAGCACACTTGCGGTTTCTCTGGTATCTCATTATAAGAACTTTAAACCATAGCAACAGTACGATGAGAAATCTTAGGGCTGTTGTAAACGAATATTTTAGTAATCGAGGTACTCGAATCATTCGAGGAATCGTTTCAGCCCCATCTTTGTGGTTTTGAAACGGTTACTTTCTAAAAAC